AAACTTCTTGATTTTGATTTTAAATTTCATTAAGTTTAGACTATCGCTTATCAGTTATTAGTGTATTTCATATGGTTGCATATCTACTGTAGTTAAAGTTGCATCTTTCAATTTTTCATCCGAGTCTGTCTGATTTCTGCGTTTCTCTGCTGTTTCATTGGCCGTTTTTATTTAGTGAAATAATAACTTTTAACATGTCTGTAGTCATGGGTGTGTTTGGCGTAAAAGTATGGCCATTTTTGAGTCTACTGAATTAGACGGGCGCGAGGGTCTTCTTACTACACAGCCCTGTGTGTCGGCTGCTGACAGTATCGGGTTTCCGCGGCAATATATTTAACCGTAAGTTTATCCCCTTATCTGTCTACGTCATATACGTTGGGGGAAAGGACATAGTACGGTTTACTTTCGGCTAACGGACCTTTGGTTTTCCTAGAAAACTCTATTGCCGGTTAGAACGTTTCCAGTGTCCCAAGTAGATTTCCGTGGTCATCACTTGGTGTGCTGATCTCAATGATACTTTTTACTTTGATTGTATCTTTCTGAACCGCGAACTCCGACCTTAGAGCGTCCATTATCTCTCTCTCTATCCTTCTTATATTTTATGAGATCCTCGACCAACATATACTTTAACAGGTTTTCAGAGCCAATGTTCTTGACTGTAATTCTACTTTCCGACCAGCACATGTGAAATCACACAATTATAATTCCTTTCAAAGGGCTGATACCTACCAATCCTCTTTGACTACTTCCCTTTAAAAAATCTGAAGGAATACAATTGGTTAAAAGGGCAATTGCAGACGACCTACGAAATATGCTGAATACCAAATACACTAAGATGACTTTCGTGACCTTTAGCCTCCTTCCTGTTCACGACTGCAAGAAGGCGTGCGTTGTTGTCCCGCCTGGCTGCCTCCACCGCGGTTTATTCATTAGTCGGCAAAAAACTACTGATCACCTTGAAATGCACATATTCATTTATGTCTTACTCTTAAATTGACGGCTGCTCCATCTGCTCGATGACAACAGGGCAGAACATGTAATAATAAGAATAATTTTTATTCAAGACCCGTGGGGGTCCTAGCATAGCAAGTAAGAATAACTTTTACATTAATTTTAGAATTTTAGACGAGGTATACAGAATTATTAGAGTACTTGATTCATAGTTTTTGAATAAGTAGCATTTTTACGAAGAATGTTGAGCGAGCACTAGACCCCTCTGGTACCCTGATCAACTTTTACTCCCCAGGAAACCCTCGGGACTCACCCATAAGCAAGCATAATGCAAAAAATATTTTGAGTTTGCATACTCTGAATAGCGTCTGAACTGCTACCGCCGGAGATTTTTTCAAAAATCCGTCGATGATTTTACGCGTGCTTTCAACTTCAATCAGTTTATAAATAGGCGTTTGATGGATTCATCAGTATTATTATCGTCCCTTCATCTCTTAATTCATAACTTTACTTGGAAGGTAAATGCAGCGAACATATTCATGGTTTACTTATTTTCTCAAAAGTCAAGTTATGAAATCATCAGAAAACTTGGATTCAAGTTCACTATGTGTTCACTATTTTCATTTACACTCTGATGATATCCATATGATTAGTGACGGCCGGACATGCGAGTGATGAAGAGTTCCATCGAAAAATTCCTTTTCCACTTCAAAAAATCCGCTAAATCCATTCAAAGAAGTAATGACCGTGAAATGGTGCTATTTCCCACAAACAAATTCACCGCAAAGGCATTATTTAAGCAATACAAATAATAAACACAAACAACAGTTTAGAGGTAATGTCAAAATAAATGTGCAGTTTTGATGAAGTGGACAGGGAAAAAATCCCCCCGATAATCGGATTTTGTATAATTAGGGTTACTCGGAAGAAAAATCCGCAGTACACGAAATGACGGCGACCCAGATGGGAACACTTAATACGAGTAAAGGGAGTTTTTTCAGTTGTCATTCCTCTTCATGAAAGTGCGGCTCTCAACCAGACAAGGATGCATGAAAGAACAATTTCTCGCCGTCGGCTGAAGAATTAGCCTTTTGAGTGACGGGCTTCTGAGACAGTAACATGTTCCCTGAGATAAGACCTGCCAGGGAGACTAAAAATCACGAATTCCCTCAATTTGGAAGATAAATCCGATGGGCTTGGCACCCAGAAATAATGGAAGTTATTTTGAAGGCAGAAAGCGGGTGATAGTTCGTTCAAATGTGCAACAATTCTGCAGAATGTTACGTTCCTGGATAACATATGCCAGGCCGTAATTACGTCAAATGAAAATAATTGGCGATATTTTGCTCCACGTGACAGAGGGCAAATTTCAAACCTCACGGTGACTGTTACGTCGAGGTTAGTCAAAATGCTTGAAGGTGATAAGCAAATTAAAAGCACGAATGTTTAACGGATCAAGACTTGTGAGTCCAAGGCCTGCCTCCCCACTGAAGTGGACCGAACTTAAATTAACTACTGGGTATGTCAAATTTCCGTGTTTCAGTGTTAAAAAATTTTTTTGATGCAAAGACGCTGGACGGTTTCTATTTTCTCCTGATCACTAAAACGCATAAGGTTAAATCCAGACGGGCGGTATTCCGGCCAGATCTACGTGCATTTCATCGAGACGTGTCCAAATCTCGTTGCTCAGAAATTACGGAGGTTAGATCCGGTCGTTTTACGTGCTTTACAGGCAGTCAGAACGCACTGCTCTGAAGTATTAAGACTTTTGGAGTGTGACACACCCAGGTCCCCAATAACGTCTGGCATGTTTATGCCGTGACCGCCATTGCTTAGTTGGGCTGATACTCGTGGCCAGAAACCACAGTTGGGCACTTCTGCCAACGAAGGGTAAAGTGGCATGTGCAAGACCAATGGTTAAAAGTCTGGAGGTCGTTTTACAAGAATTCGAGCATTTCATCGCAATCTGCAGGTCTCTGTCGGTGGAAAAGTTTAATTTTACCAGCACCCTTTAAATACATGCCGTTCTAGAATAAATCCAGGACGTCATTGGCAAAAACACCGGTCATGAGTGGACCAAATATGCTACTTTTATAACTCCACTCTTCGCGCATATAGCACTGTAGACCAATAATAATGATCGCTTCCTGAATACACTCAATTTACGCTTAATATACGTAGCGAATAAGCAAATTTGTACAGCTGAAAATTAGTGTTTATAAGAACGACCGCTGATTGATCGATCGCCCGCCTAGTGGCGTCGCCAAGGATTGTGAGGTGATGTCGGGAGATGAAGATGGGCAAGCAGTAAAAAATCCCTGAATCCCTGAATAATTTGCAAAGGAGACTTAAAATAAGTGTTAATAGTTAGTTTTTAAGAGAAAAAAGTTTCGCTCGTGAAAGGAAAACATGCGTGTGGATCAAGGTTGCCTTGTTGACGAGAGTTCATAGAGGCCCGATACTTTCCTCGAGGAGGACGATTCGTAAATCTGAAGAGAATCCCTGGGTCGCTATATCGGTTTAGATGCGACCACAATACCTCTCGACTGGCTGTAGAAACAACCCTCGAGGTGGCGAGACGGAGGCGCTCACCGCGAATGTCAACAGTTCGCTTAGGATCGAAGCGAGGGGTGGACATACAAGGCCGTGGGGATCATCGCCGAGGCGCG